CGGCGGGGGGTGTTATTATAAAGTCCCTATGAAGTGTGGCTTGCGAGTTGCCATGCAAAATAAGGCGCGTCCACAGACAGGCAGACACAGTGGGACTGGCGCTGAGGTCTGCGGGCGAGCGCCGATAACAAACGCAGCACACACACCCATATAAAAGCACCCGCTGTCTGTGAAATGAGCAAAACTGCCAATGCAACATCACATGGTGCGCTTTGGTGGCCACAGTGGCTAGGTAAAGGCTGTAAGGTACTGTATGAACTCCTCACACAAAAAAACAGCATTTTGATACTGAAATGCATGATAAGACTGCACAAGGAATGTGTCATTAGTTTCCTAATCGTGTATGGTGTCCTAGATTAAATGCCTGCACAGGTACTGCCTCATGTTTGCTTCAGTAATGGAGTCCAGTGGATCAAGACGGCTTGATGGACCATTACCATCATCCTCTGTTCAGTTCGCCATTCATCCTATAGCTTATAAAAGCATGATTTGCATGTGAAAGTAAATAATAAGCAAAGCTCAGTTCTTGGGATTGGTTTAAAACAGTATGATGTACAGTATGCAGAGGAACGTACAGTTGAATGTACATCAAAAAGATATTAGTTTAAGCCTGTGACTCAATATTCTGAATTCGTTTTGTCTACCAGTCTAATAGCATAACTAATAGCATTATTTTCCCTACCAATGACCCTGATCATTAGAACTGTGGTTCACAAAATACAACCGCATTTCTGACAAGAACTGTGATGAGAGAGAACTGAGCTGTTGTGTCGCTAGTGATGGAATCATGGGAAAGCACAAAAAAAGACACATCACCAAGTGGCATGTCTGTATAGAGAAAGCAACTGTCTGTCCAATCCACAGGCCGTGTTTCATTTTGACCAAGAAAAACATAACTGTAAAATAAATATGACAGACACTCTCAGCACAGATTTATAAACATAAACCAACTATTCAGATATTAGGTTCAGAATTTAAATGTGTACAGTAATATTCTGACTATTTATTGTAGCCCTAGAGCTATTTTATTCCTGAAATTTCCACAACATAACACATTAGGTCCAAGTTGACATTATTTGTAGGCTACTTGTTTTTGAGTTGTTTAGGTTTAGCTTAAACCCATTCAGTTCATGTGGTCAATCAATTACTCTAAAAACTATAAGTACTTAGTGAAAAATAAAGTAACTTTTTCCCACTTTAAGAACCACTGAGCTAGACCATCATAGATGCATAACACAATCCCACAGAATCAAGCTTTAAATACAATACAGCATCATTACAGAACAATTTAACTAAATTAATGACAACTCATAATAAATCAACAGGGAATTGCAAATTGTTGGAGTTCTTTTTTTGGAATTTACTAAGTTACTTAGGACTTACCAACAGCAGCTTGGACATTTTTGCAAGTTTTCAACCATTTACAATACAGTTCAGTTAAAAATATGACATAAAACAGTGCCCTGACAGCAAGCATGTTTGTGCCGGATGAACACAGGAGACATGAAACAGTCCTGGAAGTTACATTCATAATGCAGACTTAAGCCAAGTTCAGGCCAAGTAGCTGTTAATGGCATTGAACACAGGTTTATTCACAAAAAGCTGATTACATTATACAGTATATTAGCAAATTAGAGCTTCTATTTACCGTTATCACCAATGTTTCTGTCGAGTATGTTGCATTCGTTTGTGTTTACCACTCATTCATTCGTACTCACAAGTATTGATTTTTTTTTTTTAACCCATTCTGGACTGGGTCTGTGCCACACTTGGGCCAGCTTAGGGCCAGATGTAACAATTTCCACTGTTATCTTGGTTTGGCTATATCGAATCTGTTTTGGTGCAGATCAGTAAGGTGTGATTGTGCAGAAAACACTGGGCTGGCTCTGAAATGTGGAATGAACACAGCATTACATTTGGTAAGACTTTCTCAAATATCCTTCTCAACGCCTTTACCATTAGAGGATAAAGTATGTAGTGTCTAATTTGCCTTATAGGTACATATTTTTAAAAACAATTATCAACAGAATTCAGCAATTGCCCTTAGACTTCTTTTATAGGTGAGTTTTAAGTAAACAGGTTTTCGGGGATTTTTTGTTTGGTTGGTTTTTTTTTGACAGAAATTTTAACATTCTTGTCCTTGGCAATTGCTTCTATGCTACATATATGTTGAATATAGCCTGGAGTCTTCCTTTTAAATAAAATTAAATTCCAGCAGTAAAGTGTTTAACTATCTAGTTACTGTGGATAGTATTTGAGTGCACATCCTATAATAAAACGTAATAAAATGTAGAATCTTACATTAGCATAACATCGCCATTTGGTCCGAGTGTTCTTTCTCATCCCTCTATCCTCCCAGAAAACCTACAGCTCTACTCAGGCCTGTGCTTATACCTTGGAAACATGAGATCTGTCATGGGACAAGAAAAGGATGAAATAAAAATGAGACAGACGAAAGAAAAAACACAGGGTAAAAAAGGGACAAAGAAACTTGTCCCATGGTTAAGAACCAATGATCAGCAGCCTAGGGAGAGGGGAGAGGTGTTCTCTTCCAATATCAAGATACATAAAAGTGAAGAAATAATGTGTGGATCATTACCGAACATAACTCTGGATTGTTCTAACTCAAAACATGTCAGCTATGAGAATAAATATATGTAAAAACAGCAAGACATTGCTCAGTCTTTGCCGGATGCATGCAATGGGGCTTTCAGATCCATCATTTTGATAGTCTTTTAAATAACATGCAACACACAATAGCATTCACACACACTAAAAGGTATACCACAGCTCCCCCTACTGTAGTTACACAAACCATCTGTGCTGCTGCTGGACCCGATCTGTTGGCATAGGTTTTTTTTTTTTTAACATAATGGCTAACCACAATCAACAGAGTGAATCCATTTTAAATGGAAGAATAAACCACGGCCAAATTTTCAGTGTTTCATAACATTTTTACGCAGCATGAGACGTCACACTGTTCAAAAGTAATTAAACACATTCTCGCCCTTTGCTTTTCCTTTAATAGCTATATTTCCTGTGTTGCATTAGTCATTCTTGCAGATCTCATGCGCTGAAGCTTATGCTCTCATCTGACACAGTTTTGCAAGTGCATGGACTTGAGCATATACCCAGCACAGCTGTTAGGTCCATGTGCACAAAGACACACAGGTCATGCTGAGCTCTGCACTTCGCCTCCCACTGTGGAGAAAATAAATTACAGCATTTACATTATGGCTTCTCCAGCTGGGCCAGTGTTAAGCGACATCCACATGAAGACACAGATTTTTTTTTTTAGTCCCAGCAATTTCAATTATGCTATACAGAGATTGGAGAGATGTTAGAGCGAGCATACTTACCAAGACCTGCAACAGGAACCAATCACCTGCTGTGCTAGGAGTCACATGACACATGTAACCAGCTGCAGTCTGAAAAAGGTGTTGCTCCTTGAGATTGTTGAGAGGAAGATGTTGTAAATGAAACAAGACATCACCATGATAGCTTTGTTGCTATAACAAAAGTAGTAGGTTATGTGCTTGAGATAAATCATTATAACTGTGCTTATAATTTTTACAAGCTGGTAATGATTTCTATGAACACTAATAATGCATCGTAAAGATGTAATAATGCGCTGTAAATAATCCCTTTGTTAACTTATAATCCTATTTTAATGTGTTATTATTCGTTATAATGCCATGCGGTGTACTGCATAACCTTCTTAACTAATTATGAATAATAAGTGGATAATTAAAAAGCAACTGTAATATTTCAATTCAATTCAACTTTATTTATTTACTATATATATTTACACTGTTATTTATTTTTTTATATATTTATATGTGTGTCCTTGTCATTATTAGTTATAAAGGTTGTGCTGTAGAGCGCATTGGTGTTTTAATGAATACTTATAACTTATGATTATAAGCTATCAAGGAATTAGTTATCACATTATTAGAGCTTTATGAGGAATTATTAGACTTTATTTAAAAAATAAATGACAAAGTATCAATTATGAATTAAAGGCTCCATAGAAGGTTTTAGGTAATTATGCATTAAACTCTAGGTGAGGTCCAAAAGTCTGAGACTGTACTGAAAATGATTTCATTTATCACTGGAAATGAGTTTTAGAAAGGAAAAAAAAAGAAGAAGAAAAAAGAGAGGAAATGTTCAATATTTTGAATATTCGATAATCAAGATTCCATGCTATTTCTAGGTCACTATTTAAATGTAAGCACATTTCCGATAATGGCCATGGTGACTCCTTTGTACACAAGGTAATATTTTCTTTAAGTCTTTTCTTTTCCATTGAAGCACATGTTCAGACACCACTCTGATGATTTTCTTCTAACATGCATCATCAGGTTGTGGAGTCCATGCCTACCCGAGTGCACGCTGTCATTACAGCAAAACAGGGGACATATTAAATATTAACAAATTCAGGTAAAGATATTCATGTAAATATTTCTAATATCCTATTTTTCACTCAAGTTGTTGCTGAAAATATAATTTGTAATAAAATATTTTGTATTCAATTAGAAAAGAATGCAAAATGGAAGCATTTTCACTAGTGTTCTCAGACTTTTGGATGACACTGTGCATAGGTAAATCTGAGAATTCATAGCTGCGCCATGTCTCTAAGAACCAAAAGGACCAAAGGCTGATGAGTTGTAGTTGTATATATTCTCTTATCAGACACTTCATCCAGAGCGACTTACAAAATCCATAGTTGAGCTGAACTGTGTCTCTGTAGCAGTCCTAGGAGATGAATTCACAACTATCCAGTCACTAGTACAGAAAATCATATACATATTAAATGCGGTTGTTCTTCTTTCAGCTGCCCCCATTAGGGGTCGCCACAGCAGATCATTGGTCTGCATATTTGATTTGGCACAGTTTTTATGCCAGGTGCCCTTTCTGACACAACCTTCCCCATTCTTATCCGGGCTTGGGTTCGGCACTGGGAGTGCACTGCCGTGTGCAACCCCAGTGGGTGGGGTCAGTTCCCTGGCCGGGAATTGAACCCACGCTGCAGCGGCGAGAGCACCAAAGCCTAACCACTAGTCCTCCAGGGACCCATATGCATATAAAATGGATGGTCGAAATTTGGAATCCTGCATTTCCTGGTGCTCTAACACTTCTACTTTACATTACGTTACTTATACGCTATATTCCACATCTTCTTACACATTGAAAACCCAAAGCAGGCCTGTATAACACATCTGTGTCTCTCTTACTCTCATACACTCATTACTATTTCACAAGCAGCGGCTTCATTACTGAACCATATGCTTGGTAATCCTGAAGGCTGTGGGTGCATCCCTTATATAATGTGAGACAACTAAATTATTAAATGCACTGTGCTGGTGAAGCCTGACTCGGATGTGGCATCAAGCCCAGGAAAGCTTGGATACACACACACACACACATTCCAACACACACATGTCGAAGTAGCACAGGCAGAGGAACGAAAAAAAAAAAACTTCAAACATCTATCCTGTGCATTTAGTGTAATGAACAATGCCTCAATTGAGATTGGCTAATTACCCAATTTACAGATAATTAATATGATACTAATTAGCATATGTAAATGACACGCGGCATAATTGAAGAGCCCTGTTTTTAATTAGATGTCTCTAAAATGAATTTGTATGTAATGTAGAAAGGTATAAAGCAGTCATTTCCTTCTGGTGTGGCTCTCCAGCCATCAATCATTCCGACGCTACAGAATCTCCAAGATGAACATATGATCAAAATCCAGTTTAGTTCACTCGCATATTCAGACACAAAAGTCCTCTAATCTTGTATAATTAAACCACTTTTGCTGTAATTACCATCCTATGTTTTTCTCTAGAATCTTTCATGGAGGAGAAATTCATTTCCTTTCTTCATTCTGCATTGTATGCTGGTCATTTACATATTGTTGATGTGCCAAGAATGGAGATTATTTGCAAGTGCTTTTGTTAAAGTAGCTGGTCACAACACAGCCACAGCCTGGGCTTGATTGATTAAGCTTTTAGCATAACTAGTTGTTAAATTTGTATGAAATCAGCAACCTTAAACAAAGGGGCCGGATCTATTCAGTCAGTCAGATGAATCTCATATCCACTGTCATTAAAAAATGTATTAGTATTCATTGTGAATATTAAAATGGTTACAGTTGCGGTAACACCTTCAATTCAGGATCACTCCATTGCCCCTACAAAAGAAACAGGGTTGAGATTTTTTTTTGCATAGAATTAATGTCATTAACCAGCATCCATGATAATGTCATGGAGGACATTAAGGACATTATTATTATTACAAATTATCACAAATTATTATTATTTGTGAAAATGCATTACACATTAGAGCAATGTTTATTATGCATTATGAATTGTTAAGATGAAGTGTTGAAATTGTTGAAATTGAAATTTGAATGAAATTGTTAATAGAAAGTGTTACCATTCTGCCCCAGTTTATAAGTGCTTGGTTTCTAATAATGTCTTATAATGTTTCTTATCATGTTCTTATAATGTTATGAGCACTACTTATACGTCATTTTAACAATTCATAATGCATGATAAACAGTGCTATAATATGTAATGCATTTTCGTAAATATTTGTGACAATGTGTTTAATACACTCCCTAATGAATGCTTTATAACGTGATATGAATATTGTCGTAGTTCATTATAACTATGACCTTCACAGAAGTTCAGTAGATGGATTTTATACGTTTTAGGTTATTTATCTGAAACATGCACGTAGGTCATTGTGCAGAACATGTTCTCTATATTTAAAATGTCTTTCACGTTTACTTTAAATTCATATTTGTAAACTTAATGTCAGTAGGACACAAATGGCACCCCATTTGTGAACTAGGGTATTTGGTACCAAGTTGTGTTCTCACACTTAAACTGATTTGCTAAATCCCGAAACCTTGGATTTGATTCATTAATGAACTGTGTAACTTTTAATGAATGCATACATGTGTGTATGATTGTCAGCAATGAGAGTCCACCATAAGAGTCATGTGAATGAGTTGTCAGTAGAGAAAATATAGCATATTATGGCCAAGCGCATTAATATAAAACTATGATTTAAATTACAGCCAGCACTACTGTCAAGGGAGCAGGGACACACTAGCTTTTAAAAATGAAGGAAATGATTCATTTCCTATTTCTTGAACAGAAATAGCACCGCAAGGATCATTATTAAATGGTAAAGACAGCATTACACTGAACTCTCTCTCTCTCTCTCTGTCTGTCTCTCTCTCTCTCTCTCTCTCTGTCTCTCTCTCTCTCTCTCTCTCTCTCTCTACTAGTTAAAATGATCTTTATGTTGCTTCTGGGAAACTGGGTCCAAATCAAGAACACTGAAAAGCAATAGGTCAAGACATGTGTCTCTGCCTAGTCACAGGCTGCACTGCACCGCATGTCAAACACCCGTCTGCCTCCTTTCCCCTCACTCTCACCCTGTCTGACCGAACCCAAACTCTGGCAGCGTCCATATGGTGACCCTCTTCCCCTAAACAAGCCTGCTGTGAAACATCCCCCCAACACACACACACACACACACACACACACACACCTCACAATCTTCTCCTTCCATCCCTCCCTTCATTCTCCCTCTCTCCTCTCACTGCTAGCCTGCAGCTATTTGCTCCCCTGCTGCTTTCCTTTGAGATGCAGTGTCTCTTTCAGTGCTGTTCCAGGCACAATGGACTTCAAGTGGCATTTTAAAATCGCGTATATTCATTTTCATCAATATCTATGACAAATATTTACGAAAATAGATACCCAATAATGCTACACATGCATGGTCCTCCTGATTGCAAGAAAATACTTTGAATTTTTCCCTTTTTTTCTAATGTATTGTAGGTGATTTGGTTTTCTACTGTACATTTTTATCCTGTGTAACATCAAATATTATGGCATACTGTATGTTTTTTTAAATGAAAAACATACCATAGCTTTCATTTTGAATAAAATATACAAAAACAGATTACCATTTTTTAAAAATAGTTTTAAATGCTTCATATTATTAATGCATTTAGTACTGTGCCACTAAAATAAAAACATATTAACTGAAATTGTTGAAACGGTGACTATGTTGTCTTTGTTCATTCCCTCCTTCATTACCTGAAAGCAGTGTGTGTGTGTGTGTGTGTCCTTGTGCATTTAAGGTGTTACACCAAAACTACTGTATCTGATTTGGAATAATCACTGAGTTCTTGTCTGGCCATAAACATGCCAAAGCATTTCTCACTTTTCTTTCTTTAAAGCATTGGTTTTGTTAGTTCAACATGATTTAATTGTTTATCATTGTTTGATTTATCAAGTGCAACTCGGCAAGGCCCTGCATGTCTCACATTATCACTGTTATGTCACTCTGACGTACTAGAAGTACACTGAGCTAAAACATCAGTTGTCATGATGCAGAGGTACCAAACATCTACAATTCAGCTGTAGCATTTACGATTTTTAAATGCTACTAAATACTGAATAATTAATCGCAGTGTTATCAAATATTTATGCTTTTTGTTTAAAATTTGTGATTGTGTGTTCTTTGAGTCTTATGTGTGTACGCTGCTGCTAAAATCACCCTTTCTTTTTTATAATAATATTTCATGTTAGGGGAAAAAGTTTGTTTTAGTGTTATAGCACTTTCAATAAAAAAATTTAAAAATGTAATTTTACCTGACCAGAGCATGAACATGAATTTGTCAGAAAATAAGAAAATGCTCACACACACACACAATCACGAAAATCCCCCTCCTGCACTCGGAACCACGCCACACAGTGTTTACGTGTTGTTCTGTTTTGTTATTTTGTTTCATGTTTCTGTTCCCGTCCTAGCTCCATCGCTGTCCTGTGACTGGTTGATTACACTAATGTGTTCACCTGCTCCGTGTAAAGCCCTTAATTAGTTTGTCCATATATTTTAAAATGTGTGATGCTGTGTTCTTCATATTGTGGAAACCATTTTGATTCATGTTTTAATGTTTCATGTTGGGGGGAAAAAATTTTTTTAGCGTTATTACACTTTTAGTGAAATTAAAAATGTAATTTTACCTGACCAGAACATGAAATCAGACACACATATTATCACAAATTCCCTTGTGTGTCCCGCATTGCTTAAGTGTCATTTTTTGTTTTGTTTTGTTTAAATGTCATGTGCATTTGTTTGCTTTGCCATGTGCTTTCAATTCTGTTCTAGTCCTGTCACCACACTGACCTGTCATTGGTTGATTACTCTATTGTGTCCACCTGTTCCGTGTAAAGCCCTTAACTAGTTTGTCTATGTATTACCTGCTGTCTCTATTTCTTGTTGGTCAATTTTATCATGCATCTTTAGCGTTAAGTCCAAACCTTGCTTTGTAGTTCTGTGTTTCAGGGTTTTGACCCTTGCTTGTATATTCGTTTTAAAGTTGTCTAACTGTGCTCTGACCCTTGTTTGGAACTTGATACTTGGATTGCCCCAATAAAGAACACACTGAGTTTATGCACTTGTGTCCTACCAAACCCAGACAGACAGACACATACATACCCACACATACACAGACACATGAACTCACACACATTAGCCTGTTCAGAGCCACTATATTCCTGTGCGCTCAACACCATTTCATGGGAAGATTTATGAGTTTGTGTCGAATGGAAGTGCCCGAGCAGTGAGGATCCCTGTCAGAGCACTGCCAGTGGGGAGAGAGCGGAGCACAGGAACAATGCCATAAACAATCTAGGGCCAAGCTGTAATAAAGTGTGAGACAGAGGCCAGAGACCTTCTCAATCATTCAGTCACATCATGCACACTACTGTTATGGCTGTAAACCTTTTTTTTTTAAATAGCTTTAAAAGCTGATTCCAGAAGTTACACGGGACTGTCACATGCTATCAGGGGGTCAGAGTAGAGAGAGATGGACAGCACTGGAGTTGGGGGAAAACAAACAATGTTTTAGGGGACTGATGTAGTGACAAGCTCAAAACTTTAACCAGTAGTGATCGCTGGTTATGACTGAGGGCACACTGGCCTAATATCTGCCAAAACACATCTATTCATCTGCAGGCGACTCAGATACTGACTGATGTGC